TAGATCCCAGGTACACTGTTGGATTTCAATATAGTAATAATTGAGTATTTGTTCTGTTGAGACAGTTTTGGAGGGTAGGTCCAGGATTGAGAGACAAACCAGGAAATTGTAGGATGAATTGGTTCTGGTGCAGTGGTTATGGTGCGCTGGTATACTGGAGAGCAACTGGAGGAGAAATGCTCGAACAATCACTGAAAACTATATATTGGTGTCGCTTGGATTACTTTGTTTCTAACGATGGTACCTTTTTAATCTGCAACTTTGTAACTTTTTTTATGTTTCACCCTCTTTCCCTCATTCTCTCATTACCAAGTTTATGCTGCCTTTTTGCTTTCTGTCCTGGTTGCCACCTTTTTACATTTGCTCAATGCTGCCAGCACTTTGTCCCATGAACCTAAAGATTGGGCATGCAGTTTGTATTACAAGCGCTTCGTTCATCTTTCCTTTCTCAAGCAGACTTGCATTGATGTCGAAATCTACATTTTATCCTGTGCTGTGCATGTAATCACATCAACAGGGCTTTTTGCACCTTTTGAACAAAATGGTGCAGTTCGGAAACACTGGAGGGAAGCAATTTGCTGATGTCCATTTAAAGCATTTTAGGAGAGCCATGGGCATTGTGGATCATGTGGTAAATAGCGGAGCCTAATGCTAAGCTTACTATTGAACATTTAAATTTCATTGGATACTATATTTTTAAAATAGTCGTTGAACGTTATCCATTGAACGTAGCCAACTTTGCAGATGACTGTCCCTTTGAAGGTATTAACATTTTGGGCAGGGTTGTTGAGAAACAGATAAGTGATACTTTCTTAAAAGCAAATGCACCTCAGGAAGAGGTGCTGTATTCTACGTAAAGGCGCTCAGCTATGAGCTGAGGGCAACACTCGTTTTGGTGAATACTAGCTTTCAAAATATGCAGGTGAATTAAGTCTGAATGAAAGCAAACTTGGTGTTTTTGAAGTAACCAGATGTGATTTTTCTTTTTTAATGATGGGTTGAGAGGGTTGCTGTGGGCATTTAAACAGACTCACTTGATGCATAAGTAGTGCATAGCATGTAATACATTGGCTGGACACCCTGGTGCTTATTGCTGTTTTTTTCCCCTCCTGTTGAAATAGTAGCTGTATTTGAGAAAGGGGAGCACAATTTGGGGTCAGCAAAATAAAAATAGAATAGGGGTAAATAATCCAGGCTCATTTGCACTAATAGATGTAGTCTACAGGCCAGCTAATAACAGAAGAGAGGTGGGGGAAGAAATATGTAAACAAGTCAGCGAATTGAGTAGGAAAAAAGAAATGACGTTCATGGGAATTTTGACTACCCTGCTATTGGACAGAAAAAGGTAGGTTATAAGAGAATGTAATAAGAGAATGAAGTTTGTACAATGAGCATAGGACTTCTTTCTTTTTATTCATTCAATGGATGTGGGCTTCATTGGTGGACCCAGCATTTATTGTCCAGCTCTAGTTGCCCTTGAGAAGGTGCTGGTGAGCTGTCGTGTTGAACCACTGCAGTCCATTTGGTGTAGGTAGATGCACGATGCCGCTAGGGAGGGAATTCCAGGATTTTGACCCAGTGACACTGAAGGAAAGGCGATATATTTTCGAGTCAGAATATTGAATGACTTGGAGTGGAACTTTCTGAAACAATGTTAAAAGCTTAAAGGAAGATTTGCAATTGGATCTAATAAACAGGAATGAACTAGATCTCAACAGAAGTGAATATGGGAAACTAGTCACCACAATATTCAAGATTATTACTTAGGTTCCTCACTCAACAACATGCTTAGAAAAAATTGATTGAAATTTGAAGATAAGTTGAATTTTGAGGGGCTGAGATAGAACTAGGGGAAACTAATATATGCAGCAATATTAACTAACATTGATGTAAAATAATGATTGAGACTTAAAATAGTGTTCATCAGAGTGGAGGAACAACATATTCTGCTGAAAAGGAAAGAACAAACTAAACACCAGTGGGACTCTGGATGAATATAAAAATAAGTTGCCATTGTCTCAAAGGACCCTTTTTTTTCTGAAGAAGGGTCTAGACCTGAAACGTCAGCTTTCCTGCTCCTCTGATGCTGCCTGCCCTGCTGTGTTCATCCAGCTCTACACCTTGCTATCTCAGACTCCAGCATCGGCAGTTCCTACTATCTCGTACTTTGAGTATGTTGACTGTTAAGGAATGTACAATAAGAGATATTATGATGAGATTAGGAGAGTAGCAAAATGATTAGTAAGGCAAAGAGGAGCTGTAAAATTGTCAAGTAACATAACAGTAGTATTTACAGCCTCATTAATAAAGGAAGCTAAATAGGAATATGACTATTACACTCAGACTGGATGATACCACTAGTAGTGGTAGCTGGTCAAAATATTACATTATTTCTTTTCACTGTTTACTGAGGAAATGGAACAAATAGACATGATGCTTTTGTAATGAGGTAAATGCATGGAAAGTCAAAACAAGAGGCTCCGTTGATTTAAGTTGAAACTCAGATGCTAAAGCCCGTGATCCAGATGGATTACATGCGCGTAATTTAAGGATCTATGGGAGAGATGTCATAGGCATTACAGCACTTTGTAAATGTGTAATAATCAAGGTATAGTGTGGGAGGTCTGACAAATGTAATACCTATATTTAAAACAAGGGGAACAGAATTGTCCAAGGAACCAGTCAGCTTACAATTTGTGTGAAATAGAATGGAATTCCTACTAAAGGAAAAAATTAAAAACATCTAGACAAAGAACAATATAACAGTCAGCATGGATTTGGAACACTTGTAAACTTTGCTATCTTTGCTGGTGTAGAAACACAGAGCAACAAGATTTATTTATGAAATTAATTTATCAAGTTAAAGTTACAATAGGTTTATTAAGTTTGATGCTATAAACTCAAGCTGTAATTCCTAGTTTAACACAGGCTCTACCAGCCATACTTACTCAGAACAGAAAAACTTGCATTTGTTGCCACATTGATCTTCAGGTTTTATTCTCTTTCCTTACATCTGTTGCTTCAGGCCTTTGGTTCTTCCCACTGCTGGATGGACCCGAGGGGAGCATCTCTAGCGTTCTGGCTTTTACCCAGTTAGCCTCTTTATTACCTGTCATTCTCTCACCTTTGCGGTGGTCATATCCTGGGTATCTTTTTCTAGACCAGCCATGTAAATTCCGCCATACCTGTGTTAACATGGCCATATAATTCCCTTACTTCAAGCTGCTGCAGCCCACATTCTCATATTTCTAAATCTCCAGTGCATCTGCTCTTTTAGCTTGTACAATCAAATTGAAGTTTCTATAAAGACTTGGCTTTTTAACTTTATTCAAAAAACTCTTGGAAATTAGAGGTAACCCAAGAGTGTTGATAAGGGCAGTGCTGTTGATGTGTTATATGTGGACTTCAAAGAGTCATTGATTCATTGTCAGACAACAGAATTGAGGGCTGTGTTATAATTTGTGGAATAGAAGGGACAGCAATTGCATCAGTACCAAGAGTAGCTGTCAATAGGTGTTTTTAGGCCGGAGGACGGTTTGTAGTGTTGTTGGGATCCTTGCTCTTCCTAATATGTATTAATAACCTAGACTGTGATGGACACCACATGGTTTCAAAATGTGGGGATAATGCAAAGCTTAGGAACATTGTGAACTATAAAAGAGTTGGTGTAAACCGAAAGGACAGAGACATGTTGGTGGGGTGGGTGGACCGGGAGCAGATGTGGAGTTCAATGTGGAGAAATGTAAAATGATTAATTTTCTTAGGAAGAATGTGGAGAGAGAACATTAGCTAAAAAGTGCAACTCTAAAGGATGTGCTGGAACAAAAGGACTTGGGCATGTATGTGCATAAAGCACTGGTGGCAGAATGGATTGTTCGCTGGCTTCAAGACAAAGCTGAGAGTAAATGTTAGTTGTTCAGAGTGGCAGAAAGTGAGAAGTGGATCGTCTGCAAGGTTCATTGCTGTGATCACTGCTGTTCATAATTTGCGCAAGCAGTTTGGACTTTGGAATTAAAAACACCAAATTGCAAGAGATGCCTGTAGTTGATATTAAGGGGGACTGCAATAAAGTATAGCAGGGCATTAGTAAAGTTGCGAATAATCGATTAAGTTCACTACAAGCATGAGTTACTACCTTTGTAAGAAAACTAAGTAGGTTAGTCAATATGACTCGAGTTACAAATCGAGGTGAGGTAGAGGAACAAAGAGATGTCAAAACAAATATGCTAATTGCTAAAAGCTGTACCACAAGTTAGCAAGGCCATTTAAATAAGTAAGTACTTGATTTCGTTTCTGGGGGGATAGAATTAAAAAGTAGAGAGGTTTTCCTAAGCTATGATGAACCTTTGCTAGACCACACTTAAGAGTGCAAATGCTTCTGTTTGCAGTATTATAAAAAGGATTGAGTACCGGATAGGATGCACAGGAGATTTAGTGATGATAATAAAAATGTGTGGATATACCTGTCAGGAAAGGATTGACAGACTGGATAATGTCTCATTGGAGAAAAAGGAAGGCTGAAGGGTGACCTAATGGAAGCATTTCAAATTGTCAATGAGTGTTTTGATAACAAAGAGAATGCTTCCACATCCGGGGAATAGTGTAACCAAAGTTTACCAATATAAGCTAGTCACCAAAAAATTTAAGAGAATTCAGAAGAATTTTTTTATCCAAACAGTGGTGAGCATGTGAAACTTGATACCAAAAGGAGTGTTTGAAGTAAAATCGCATTTAAGGGGAAGTTAGACAAACATATGAATAAGAATGGAAAAAGGATAGATTTAGATAAGGAAGAAGGGGTGAATGCCCAAATGGAGCATAAATGTAGTATGTGACCTTTGGGCTGAATGCTCTGTTCTGTATTCTGTGTCCTATGTAGCAAATAGAGTCCATCTCTTGTTAGTGCAAGTGTCTCCCCCACCTCATTGCTGTAACATTGAGTATGTAGAGGCTGAATTACTACAATAACAAGTTTAACAGATCAATGTTCTTTCTCTCAGGTTGTCAACAAGATGCTAAATATCAACATCATGTCGGTTTGTAAGGTAAAACCAGTTCATTTAATAATTTCTGTAAAAGTTTTAATTCTTTACATGATTATTGTGTTTAAAGATGGGGTTATACTACATTATTGGTTAAAATTCTGTTCTAACAGTGAACTTATTACAGTGCATTATCAGTTGGAGACACATCAAGTTATTTCATGGCCCGTTACCTCTTCCCCTGAGTTTTTTCTTCAATTTCTTTCCCCACAGACATATGCAAGTAGGGTGTGGTTTCCTAGTGTTAGCAACACCTCACCACTGCTACTTTTACTTGTGAGCCTACACATGGAAAAGGAACTGCTTTTTGTTCATCGCATGCAACACCCAGTACTGATTTCAAGCAGCGTCCAGACCTCCGGTTGATTTTCGCCGTTTGCAGTTTCTGCATCCCTTTGCCAGCTCAAGTTATAGAACCATAAAATAGTCACACCACAGAAGGTCACTATTTGGCACAGCATGTCCTTTCCAGCTGTCTGCAACGGCAAGTCAGCTAGTTCCATTCTCCTCCGCTTTTCCTGTAGCCCTGCAAGACTTTCCTCTTGTGCTTACCTGGTTCAATTTTGAAATTTATAATTGAATCTGCTTTCACAACTCTCTTTTTTCTGCAAGTGCTTTCAAAATTCTAACTCTATTGTACAATTTCAACCACTACATAAAAACTTTAAACCTAAAGTCTTAAGTCTTCCTGATGTTGTGGTGTAGTTGTAAACAATGTGTTTTCATGTTAGGAAGTCTTGAGTTAGAGCACTGTTCATAAATAGAACTGTTTTGAGGGAGGATATTAAATTTAATATTAAAGCAACATGCTTGTTCTTTCTTTATATACTTATTAGAAAAGTGCACTTTTTACAAAATTACTGTTATTTAGTAAATCTGATTGGAAATGAATCCTTCAAGAACATTGTTACTAAACCTAACTTTATTTTCTTCTGCACTTTTGTATGAACTTAGGCTCAAACTCCCTATTATTGGCAGCCAATTCTCAGCCATGTTCTGCCATTAATAAGGTTCTACATACATATCAGGACTGAGAAATTCCCATCATTTGTGGAATTGTGACCATAGCACTGATTTTCTGACCTCTATTTGTTTCACTGTGGTCAGCAGTGAGCTTGGCTGCTCTCTTGTCCAGGGGATCCCAAAGTCTGGGCTATCCTGCAGGCAATCCACGAACTCCGTTGTGCAGAGTCTCATTGTACCCAGATCTGAACCCCAACTGTCGTCACTGAGCATCGTGCCAACCCGAACCTGACTGCCATCACTCATCCAATGCTGTCTATTGCTGACATTTTGGTGGAGCCGGGTGCTTCGGGAGGCTGGAGAGGGGTACAATAAGAAGAGCGAGCAGCACAACTCCAGTCTTGGCTGGTTGCCGTGAATAGGTGCTGGTTTTCACTCAGTGGCCTAACCATGAAGGCACCTGTGTGGCTGCAAGGCTGGTTGGTGTTGCTGTAAGGCTGTTGGAAAGGGGAGGGTGCAGACAGTGATGGTGTCATGACTGAGTCGGTAGGAGGGATGTTCGGAAGAGGGGCTGCCAAGTATGTATGGGGAGAGACCTTTGGAAGGCGGTGCACTCGGAGTGTGTGCGTTTGCACATCAGGAAGAGGTCTGGGAAGAGACAGCACTGAGTGAGTGGAAGCAGGGGGAATAGGATTAAGGGCTGTCAAGTGAAAGCAAGTTGAGGCTCATACTTGGGGTGGGGGGCGCGGAGGCACTCATGAGAGAGTGTGCATGCGTGCGTGAGTGAGTCAAAGACTTCAGAGGGCTCTTAATCGTTCACCTTAATAGAGAGCCAAGAATGGTTAGAGGCAGTAAAACCTGTGGTAACTATAAAACTGGATATGTAAAACAATTCAAAGCCAGATGAATAGAAATTTCTTCCGATTTTAATTATTAGTATGACTGGAGAGATTCTTTTCACTCCCTGCTCTAAACTTCACTTCCTACGTAGCAACTCTATCTCTCTCCCTGACAATAGCCCGAGATTAGGCAGGTTTTTTGTTGAGTTAATTCGTCTGATATCATCCCAAACTCTGCTTATGTACTGTAGCCCTCATTCGCGTCTTTGTTAGCTTTAGTCTGGACTGTGACAATCCATGCCTGGCTGGTCTCTCATTTTACCCTCAAATTTGATCATCAAAATCTCTGCTTGTGTCTTCACTCACACCATGCCCTGCTCTGGGTCAGCCCTGTACTTACTGACCTATGTTTTTACCAGACCAAGCAATGATTTTAAAATACTCATCCATTTTTTCCAAAATCCTCCATGCTTGCTTCTACCTCAGAACCTTGAGATATCAACACTCCAGTAATTCTAGACTCCTGAGCATCCCTGATTTTAATTTCTCATCCATTGGTGAAAGGGTCTAGGCAACTGGAAGCCTGAAGTTCAGGAATTCCCTTTCCTATGTCTCTTACTCTTTTATACCTGTCTCTGTACCTTTTTAAATACATTTTTTTTACCTCTTTAACAAAGCTTTTGGACATCTGACCAATTAGCTCCTTGTGTGGTTTGATGTGTTCTGTTTCTTATCCATCCTGAGAAGCACTTTGGCGATGCAAGTCAATGGCCAGTGGTATGGACATTGTGGTGGTAACTTGTCAGTTTCATTAGCGTGATGACAGTGAATGCTAACACGAAATTCAGGAGATAAGCTTAAGCAGAATAATGTGCAAATCCAGAAGTTGCTGTCACTGATTTTGTCCCTCCAGTGGGTGCACTGTTGAGGTCCTGCCAAGAGTGCAATTTCTTAAGTTATCAGTGAAGTAATGAAAAGATCCGGTATTACATTTGGTCTCACTGCAAAACCCTTTTTTATTTTTTAAAAAAATATTGAATCTTGTTGAATGATGTGTAACTTCAGAATTACGGCAGAACTCCTTCATTAGCCCTGAAAAGATAATTTACAGTCAGGGAATGTTAGAATTCTGCAGTGATAAATTTCACACTTCTAACATAGTGAATTGAAATTTGTTTTATACTGATATTGTATCTGGAATTTTAAATTGCAGGTAAAGGAGTGTTTTTAACTTCCGGGTTTAATCTGAGAATACCTGTGATTTCCCTGCTTGCTGCTATCACTGCTGCTCTACACCTGAGCATCTCCTTGACTTGGTGCCAGATTTTAAACTGTTGCCAACAAAAGGGCTGTTGATGCCATTGGCAATCTTTGAGGCCCCCCCCCAGTTAGTTGTGTGTACTACCACTGACTGACTGCAAAACCTGCGTAAGTGTGTTTTTATATTAAGAATGAGAGAGATTATGAAATTGAAGATACTGAGATTACCAGCAGCAGAGAGGTTTGCCCCTAATCAGCCAAGCTGGCTGGCTAACCAGCAACCATAACCATAACCAGAAGCATTGGTAGGGCTTTTTTAATTCAGATGTTTGACTACTAAATCTGTTGGTTCATTGACATAGTTTCTGAATTCCTGTATTGCTAGATTGTGAAATCATGGAGGCACTCCAACACGTGACCTGTTTTAACTTTCTTCCCCAGTCCCTGGAGTGGATGGTAACCAGTTGGTCATTGGCTTGCTGACTAACGTGAATTTAAGTCCTTACTTTAAATAAGCCAGGTACCAAGCATTGATTATAAATGGCACGATGATCAATACGACCCAAGATATGGTAGCCATTTTTGAGCAAACCATGGTAGCGCATTGCACTCCATTGGTGGCTAGTTCCATGAATTGGAGATGCAGAATTTTAGTTGATTGCCTTCTGCAACTTAACTATATATATATAAAACTTCAGATAAAATCTAGCAACAACTGTTATCCAGTTTGTTTCTTTATTAACTCTGTGATGATTCTCCATTTTAGGTAAAAGGGTTGATGCAGCAACCTTTGATGCTTTACAAATGCTTCCTAAGCCAAATGGTGACATTTGCCCACCATACAGTGAGTCAAACCCCTTCCCCATTACAAACTAATCAACAGATTGACGACAAGGCGAGATGCTTTGCTCTGTCTGCCTGAGTGCACTATTTTCTGCAATGCCTGAAAAAATTCTTCTGTTGAAGATTTGAGTTCTGAACTGCATCTTTGTCACAAGCTTTAGAGGCAATGTTAAGTGGGTTTCCCTGGGGTTTTACATAATCTTGTACAAAGCCACAACCTGTCTCAACATTTTTCTCTGGCAGAATGCAACCTGTTATTTTTTGATGTAATTTGTCGGCCCCCGAAATGTTTGTATGCTTCACCACCCCAAGAAACGTCTTATAGCCACAAATACTAGCAAGATTTCTCAGTAGTTTTTGGTCATTGTTTCTGTATTTTAGAAATGTAGCAACCATGTTGAGAGTTGAAACATCTTCCAAGCAGATTAATTGACTAATTTTTTTTCTCCATTGTGAAGAATGTTAAATGATTCCACCACTCCTGGAGTAGTGCCATATGACGCAGACAGGGTAGGGAGGTAATTTGAACTTTCTAAACTCATTACCATCCGTATGTAAAGAGTAGTTTTCTTTTAAAAAAGGCTGCAGTGTTTTTTTTCCAAATGTCTTTTGGTAAAGTCAATTAAGTGAATGCGACACGCTCTCTGAGAGATAAAATAAGAATGTGTTCAGACATTCATATCCAGCGCAGTCTTTGTGTCCACAAGAAAAATAGACGAAAGAAAAAGGTTTTACTTCTCTGAATATCAAAACCAAACGTGTAATTATCAATTCGCTGGTATTAGCGTCCAGTGATGGTTCCTTCACTCAGAAGGTAGCGTTCAGATGATTTCATGTGGCTGAAGACCTGAGTCGCAGAATTTCTTTAAAGTTGTTGATAATATAGCAAGATGATGCTTATAGACTGGAAACCAATTTACTTTGGAAATCTTTACAGCAAACAAGTTTCAAGGACAGTGCAGCTTTTAGATAGAATTCACTTTTTGGCTTTGAGTTGTCCTGATGCTGTTGGAATCAGACTAAGTCAAGACTTACCCAACATATAATTATTAGTAAAAGCAATGCTAGAGAAACATAGCAAGTCTGACAGTACTGTGG